TATTAATAGGTAAAGAAGCTCTGTATTTAACTCTATTCTAATAATATATGTATATAAAAAAAAAAACATAAAAAAAAGACAGCTAAATAAAACAGAGTAGCCTGAAATATCAAAGTCTCGAAGTATTGTTCAACAGTTTTTTTGGTTGAGGCACATATATTATTTGTGTTGTCATACAGTCCATATACAGTTGCTTAATTCAAACGTCTGTCCGTTATCCCGTTATGAAAGTCCCATCCATTTCTAGACAGGTAAACAATAATGACTTGTTTTGGAAAATTACGTGTTGATCTTTTGGAGGGGGTAAGCTAAAACAGCCACTTTTTGACAAAATTTCCTTAAAAAAAGTGGTGGGTCAACGAAACTTTTCTGTAGTTGTTTCTTGTAAGTTTACTGTTGTATAGATATACCTTAAGCTTGTAATACTTCTAGTGTCATCCTAGACGTTCTGTGTTTCCAAAATATCCTTCTAGTTTGGATGCCGAATAGGCAGAAGAGTCCGCCAGAAGAAGAGCTTGACCTCTACCAAAACCAGTCCAAAGTAGACCGCTCTCTGGTTTTACACTCTTGGTACTTCGTCGACAACACACCTACTTCTGTAGGACCAAGTTTATTATTTACTTAAGTGTCTTCTATAGCACTGATCATAGTTCGGTTTCTTGTTTTTTTGTTGACCAGATGATTGTCAGAAAGAGTTGGTGAGTATCTTTTTTTATTATTATTTTTAATTATAATTAATATACTAATATAATTCTTCTTTTTCTTTTAGATTCTAGGCTTCTTTCCTTGTTACTTTTGGTATTCATATGTAGATCTTTGGAATGGGCCTTCGGTTTTGCTTTCCAATATTTTTTTTTTTATATAAGTATTTTTTATTTTAATTATAATTAACATATTAATGTAATTCTTCTTTTTCTTTTAGGTTATAGACTTCTTTTCTTGTTACTTTCGATATTCATATGTGGATCTTTAGAATAAACCTTTGGTTTCGCTTTTCTGTATTTTTTTTCTTATAAATATATATATATATATTTTTTTATAATTAACATACTAATATAATTATTCTTTTTCATTTAGATTCTAAGCTTCTTTCCTTATTACTTTTAGTGTTTATATATAAATTTTTGGAATAGCCTTTGGTTTTGATTTCTAGTATTTTTTTCTTATATAAGTATCTTTTTTTTTTTTTTTAAGTATAATTAATATACTAACGTATTTCTTTTAGGTTCTAAGTTTCTTTCTTTGTTACTTTTAACATTTATATGTGGATCTTTAGAATAGGCTTTTAGTTTTGCTTTTTGACACTTTTTCTTATGTAAGTATTTTTTTTTTATTAGAGATATAACAAAAATCAGATGATTTTTTAGGGGGAAGGAGGTAAAAAATTTAAAATTATATATAAAGATCTGATCATAATATATAATAAGAGGGAGGGAGGGGGTAAGCTTTTGATAAAAAAAAATCAAATAATAAATGACACTGCCTTTATTATTATTAATAATGATTAATATACTAACATAATTCTTCTTTCTCTTTTAGGTTATAGGCTTCTTTTTTTTATTACTTCCAATGTTCATATATGGATCTTTGAAATGGATCTTTGGTTTTGCTTTTTGATATTTTTTTCTTATATAAGTATATTTTTTTTATTAATTAATCTTTTTTCTTTATTACTTCTGATTGTGTTATTTTATATTAAATATAATATGGCTATAGTATTTGGTAATTAGTATATAGAATATAAATTTTATTTTTTTAAATAAAAAAATTTAATTTTTATTATATAAATTTAAACAGATATGTATCTGGTTTTAGACAAATATAGGATACTTATCAGGTTTTCTATATTACAAATTGAATTACCGATATAGCACCAATATAGCACTAATATAGCACTAATATTTATCTTATATTTTTCTGATAGGTATCCTATATTAGCCAAATTTCTGTTTGAAATCAGAGATATATCGGTTAATTATAGGATAAAAAAAAAATATCAGTATAATAACAGTATACTTTAAAATATATATCATATTCTATCAGCATATAGATTATATACCTCGAATATAACAATTTGAACAAACAATGACTTGAAACCTCTAGTATGAATTTCTAACCTTTTCAATCTCTTTACAGTGTCAATATTGAAGATGCTATTTTTTTATTTTGTTGCAGTGTTTTTTTTTTTTACTTTAAATATGCTATGTATATAAATTAGAGTAGAGACTAGTTTAAATAGTAGTATATAAAATGGGTGTGGTGACTTAGTGTAGTTGGTAAGTTGTTACACCTTCAAGCGACAGGACAAGAGTTTGAATCCCAACAATGATGAAATTTGAATTTGCAAAAATGCGTTATGGTAAAACTGTATTGCATGTTGATCAGGTTAGTGCAGCAAGCCAGCTTAGCCGATTCAGCCGATTCAGCCACGGCTTAAATTACTGCAGCTCAGCTATGGCTAAGCTGTGGCTGAGCCACAGCAAATATTCTACAAACAAGCGTTTTGCGAAGAATTTATGCTTAGGTGAATTAAACTGATTCCTAGAACTCCCCTAAGTCTAAAAGCATCACTATTTGTACGATAGTTCGTGAAATATTCGAAGTTGAGTTACTTGGTTTGAATTACTGCAGATCAGCCATGGCTGATCCGTAGCAAATATTCCAACAAGTGTTTTTGTAGAAAATTTATAGATAGGAAAATTAGGCTAGTTTATAGAAGCCCTTTAAGCCTAAAATAATCTTTTTTTGAGTAATAAATAGTTTATGTGATATTTGAAGCCGGGTTATTGAGTTTAAATTACTGCGGATCAGCCGTGGCTGATCTATAGCGAGTATTCTAACAAGCATTTTTGTAGAGAATTTATGCTTAGGTAAATTAGAGTAGTTAAAGAACTCTTTAACCTAAAATTATCCTTCAATAGTTCGTGAGATATCGAAAATTTGTGATTTATCGGGTTTTGATTTTCAGTGGAACTTCTGACTTTCGGTAGATTTGTAATGTTATTTCTTAATTTCTAGTTTAATATAGAAATACTCATTAATGTTCCAAAAATAAAATAAATAATGTAAATAATGTAAAAATATGTAAAACTGGCCTATCTTTTCTAATATTTGTTTGTAGAATTTGAAATAAATTTTTATTAAATTGCATATATATCATTTGAATACATTATTTCTATTTATGCGTAATTTTAATTACTAACTCTGTCATTTTGTAATTATAACTAAAGGTTCTTCTTTCTTAACAACAACCAATTTGTTACATTGAGTTGTCAGAATTACTGGGTTAGATAATCTACTGCTTAATTCAAAGACTACTGTTTGGGAAGTTTTGTGCTTTACGAATAACTATTCTATAAGTAGTATATTTAGCCCTATATTAAGTAGCCTTTAACTACCTCATAGAACTCGCTCAAATAAATATTGCATTTTATAGCTCGTTATTAAGTGTAATAGAAGCAGACTTTCATTTAAGTCTTGTGCACATAACTTCGATATTTGTGTTTCCAGTTTAGGCTCAATATACTGTGGTAGAACCATAGTCTTTAAACTAAGCAGTAAATCATCTCACCCAGTGTTTTCAGCCATTCAATGTACTGAATTGGTTGTGGATGAAGTGTAGTTGGTAATAGAGTTATAAAAGAAAAAATGTAAAAATAAAACCAACTAGAAAGATACCAAAAAACTAACCCAACTTGTCAAATCTAATCGTCTCATCTGAATAAGCCTATTGTTGGCTCAATAACTAAAGAACTTGCAGTTATCATTTATGCCATTTGTTTAAAACCTGTAACATTATAGAAAGATTAAATAATTGCAAATTCATTTTTAGTACATAATTCTTTTTAAATGTGGTATAGTATAAACTATTGGAGATATTTAAGACATTATTAAGTTATTTTCTATATTTATTTCTGAAACGAACTTTATAATAAATAGTATTAAATGAAGTTTTATTTTGATGATTATCACAATGTCTGATTTGAATTTGAAAATTTTGTCTTGGTATGCATCTAAAAATATATAATTTCAGAATTGGTAATAATGCAGCCACAATTAGTTTAGCATATTTTTTGGATGTATTTTTGTTTACTAATTGTTCTTATTATAAAATTTAAATTATTGGTGAAAAGTAATTGGAATTCATTCAAGTTGACGAAGGTTAACAGTTTGCTAAGCAGAGATATGCCAGAACTAACCCTGCGGTATATGAAACACATACAGATAAGTATAATTCAATCAGCTGCTCAATTAAGAATTATTAGATGATTATTTACTTCATCATTGGATTGAATATAATGATTAGTGGCACAATCAGATAGTACTCACCAAAAGCAAGAAGCGAGATTCGCACCCAATCCCTCCAATCCTCATACTGAAGTTTACTATTTCATAGTATCAAACCTCATATTAGCCAGACTACTTTATGCAGGTGGAAATGTCTTCAGTTTCATCTTACACATCAATCATACTGATGTACACTACACACTATAAGTAAATAATCATACTAATTGTATATCAACCGCACTGATATACATTGCATACTTTTAAATAATTAGGGTAGCTGTGCGATATAATCACACTAAAACTAGGAACGTTGTGTGATTATGCTTGTATATACTATACTTTGTTTTTAATAAAGTTTTTTTTTTAGAATTTAATTTTATAAAGTAAATAATAATATAGTTAGTAATTTAACATAAAAGTAGATCTAATTTTTAAAGAAAATATATCTTGCTTTAATCTGTAACAAAATACTGTCTTTATGAGAAATATTGTATGTTAATTCTGACTTATTATTTAAGTTAAAATGTAGGTACAGTACATATATATTATTTCAGAGTAATATAAATACCAAAAAGATATACTAATATGCGTACCTCTAAATCAGAAATACTGCAGGACGTTAGTAAAGTTGTAGCCAGTCATTTATTACAGCATGTTACATCAACACAACACTTTAATTAGTAAATTATCATTATCGTGAACCATACAGTACATAAAAAAGAAAGCATTATGTTATATCAGCATAGTATTTCAATGTATAAAATCATAGATTTTTAATGCCCAACCAAATACAAGATTTTATGAACTCACCTTTCTAGATTGCAGAAAACCATGCACTTTGTAATACAAGCATGACTCCATTCCTGGTATAATCATTGTATCTGCATATCAATTGCACCAATATATGCTGCTTATTCTCTAATAAGTATCTGTATATTAATTGCACTAATGTATGCTGTATACTCTCTATGATTAGTTATAAAGTTTAATACCCAGTAATATTAGCCTAATACCAAGCAGAATCCCGTATCTTTAAACTTTATATCAAGTCAGCCTGCTTTATGCAGTGTTAAAAACTAATAGCTAGTGCATATATCATATTTCTGTTAATGATAGTAATACCCAGTGCAATTATAGTTATTATCTCTAGGTGCATATCCCCTATCAGTTGGTACATCAATTACACTGATGTATACTGCATATTCTCTAATCAACAGATGCTTGCAATGATATATTATTACTACTATATATTCCCGAAATAAACTACTCCGAAAATACGCTACCTTCCTTTTTAGGGGATGTCTAAAGTGGGGGCAAATTCACGTGACCTTATATTTCAATTAACTTTAGGGTTAGGGTCATCTTATATTAAGGTTAGGTTAGGTTTTAGGTTGTTATATATAAGCAAAATTGCCTTCCCGACATTTTCACTTAACCTACCTGAGGTAGATTTAGACTGCCGTTTTTTCTATTTTTTGGGTTTTTCGTTTTTTGTTTCTTGCTTTGCTTCGCCGATGATCATCAAAATTCTATAATTTGATTGGCTGTGATCACGTGAAATTGCCCCCGCTTTAGACGACCCCCTTTTTTGGAAGAAAAACGTAAAAACTTCTATTGCCTGAAAATAAGCTACTTATACGATCGTCAGTGGTTACTCTATAGTAAAGTCGAAATTTTACTAGGTAAATTAATATGGCTTATTAAGTGAAACTTATTTAGAAGATCAAAATACATATATCCTGAAACTTTCATATAAATCAGATAACTTTTTATTAATTGACTTTTGCATGTTACGTTCAATGAATTTTTTAAATTTTCTTTAAAATTTATATTCGTTGAATGTAAAAATCAAAAGTCAATTAATAAATGTTATCCGAATTACATGAAATTTTCAGAATATATGTATTTTGATCTCTTGAATAACTTTCACTTAATAAGCCATGCCGATTTACTTAGTAAAATTTTTTGCAATTAAGCAAAATTTGCTTTTACCCAAAAATAAGCTACCACTAATATTTTTGTGTAGCTTATTTTTGGGAATATATGGTATATACTATAAGATTATTTTAATTAGAATAGATATAATATAAAAAGCAAAGTATATAATATAAAAAGCAAAGTATATAATAAAGTTTTTATGAAATATCCTTTTTTGTTTTAGTATAAAAAGTTTATTGTACTGAATATTTATAAAAATAACTTAGCTTGGTGTTGGCTTGACAAAGTTTATTGATGTTGTAATATAAAATATCCTTTTTTGTTTTAGTATAAAAAGTTTATTGTACTGAATATTGATAAAAATAACTTAGCTTGGTGTTGGCTTGACAAAGTTTATTGATGTTGTAAGATATTCTATTTAGAATTTCTATATTGCCAAGACCTTCTATACATTTTAAATAGTTTAAAATAATAGTATAATATATAGTTACATTAAAACTAATTAAATATTGAGTTAAAAACTATAAAAAAGATAGCTTTTTGTCATTTTAAAAAGCAGAATTTTTTCTACTTTAAATTTTTTTAATAAAATTATATTTTATTTATCTTTTGTTTGATATTATTAATAAAAATTATTATTTAACTTCCTCTTTTATATATTTTATCTTTTTTTAATAATTTTTATTCTTTTCTTATAAAGTGAAAGCTGACTTCAGAAATAGTATTTTGGCAAAATACTAGCTTTATATTATTAGAATTTAAAAGCCATATATAGCTGTCGACGGTCTGATTATTAGTGCTTTCTTTTCTCTGGTTATATCTAAGGATATTTCTAAGTTCTAAAGTCTAATAATCCTTGTAAAGGGCAAGCATTTGCTACACCCAATCCATACAAACTGGACAATAGGTTAAAATTTAAATATAATTACCTATACTCCTTATAGTATCTTTGGAGGCTATTGAATTTAAATCCTATTTTAAATAATTTTTCTTATTTTTTATATTCTCTTTAAATAAATTTTTTTTGCTTAATACTTGTGTTTTTAAATTTGCTAAAGCTTGCTAGTTTTTGGTAAATTTATTATAATATATTTAATATAAATTATAACTTTAAAAATTTAATTAAATTTACTTATCTAAATTTAAATAAAATACGATCTAAAACCTCTAAAAATTATACTAAAGGAAAATCTAAATTCAAAAAATCTAAATTAATTTCAACTAAAAATACTTCTCAACCAATTGAAAATATTTCTTCTCAACCAATTGAAAGTACTTCTTCTCAACCAATCGAAAATACTTCTTCTCAACCAATTGAAAATATTTCTTCTCAACAAACTATTTCTAAAAGAAAAGCTAAAAAACAAATTCAAGTAGTTAGTGATAATGATTCTTTTGATTATTCTTATAGTGCAGATGAGGTTTTTGATAATATTTTTGATATAGAAAATAGTGATGATACTATTCAAAATTTAGAAACTTCTATGATAACTACCCCCTTTACAAATATTCCTTCTTCTTCTACAAATTTAAATAATTTTAGTTCTCAATCTATATCTAAAAATACTTCAAAAAAACTTAGAAAAATAGACAAAAGTTGGATATAGAATTATATGGAAATTAGTCAAGAAAATATTGTTTGTTTAGAATGCAAAAACAATTTACCACCTAATTAAACTAAACCAGCAATATTTCAATTAAATACTGAAACTGGAAATATGATACAACACTTATTAACTATTCATCAAATGAATGAAATTTCTGAATCTCAACAAGTACTATTAATAATTCAACCAGATAGACAACAAGATTTAACTTTTGATTTAATAGATTGGATTATTGATGATATGCAACCATTTTTAGTTACAAAAAATAAAAAATATAGAAAATTAATTAATATTCTTTATCCTGATTATAAAATTTCAGCAATTAGTACAATAAAAAATATAATTTTTAAAGCCGTTCAATATACTGAAGAAAAATTAAAACAACTTTTTAGTTCAACATTAATTTCAGCAAGTTTTACAACTGATGAATGGACATCTAATCATAAACCATTTATTGGAATTACTATTCATTGGATATCTGAAGATTTTAAATTACATCAAGTATTATTAGCTTTAGAAAAAAATCCATATCCACATAAAGCACTAAATATTTTTCAAAAATTAAAATCAATTTTAGAAAAATTTAAAGTTGAAGATAAAATTATTGCAGGAGTTACAGATAATGCTTCTAATATAGTTGTTGCTATGAAAAAATTTGAGAATATTAATCATATAAGATGTGCTGCACATACTATTCAAATTTCAATTAGATATAGAATTGAAAAAATTAGTAGATTAACAACAAAAATTTCTAAATTAAATAAATTTTTAGTTAATCATGACAAATATCGTAAGCATTTAAGAAAAATACAACGTTCTTATGGAATTTCAGAAACAACAATTTTAAATAGTTTTGAAAATAATAGTAGTGAAAGTGATAATAGTGAAATTGAAAATAATACAAATCAACATAATTTTTTAAATATATTATAGCCTCTTCAAGATGTTTCAACAAGATGGAATTCATTTTTATTTGTTATTCAACGTTTGCAATATCTTAAAAAATCAGTTGAACAATTACAACAAGAATTAGAACATAATTTAGAAAAAGATGCTGAAGAATTAGAATTACTTTTGCTGGATAAAAAAGAATGGATAGCTATAAATGATATTATTAAAATTTTAGAAAAATTTGCTAATGCAACTAAATTACTTAGTGAAAATTATTATCCAACACTTTTATTTACTTATCCTATTATATGTGAATTATTTAAATATTTAGAATTAGTAAAAAGAACTATTCATACATCTCAAGCAAAATTATTACAATCAGCAATATATGAATCAATGAATGAAAAATGGAATAATCAAAATGATATTGGAATTATTGCTGCTTTTTTTGATCCAAGATTTAAATTATTAAAATTTACAAATTCTGAAAAAGCTGATTTAATTATGGAATTTATTAAATCTAAGTTATTAGATCTTGAAAGATTAGACAATATAAATGAAGATCCTGAAAATTTAATTTCTAAAAATAATTCAACATTATCAGAATTCTTTGGAGAAGATATGAAATTGCTTTATCAACATCTAATTATAATTTTGAATTTGATACATATCTTAAATTACTACAACTCTTATATAATCAAGAAATAAATTTATTAGATTGGTGGAAATCTAAATCTGCAGCATTTCCTTATTTAGCCAAATTAGCAAGAATTTATTTAGCTATTCCTGCAACATCAGCACCTTCTGAAAGAGTATTTTCAACAGCAGATAATATAATTACAGATAAAAGAAATAGTTTACATTATAATACTGTTTCTAATCTTTTATTTCTTAAACAAAATTCTCATGAATTTGATATTTTTCCAAGAGTATAATTAAATTTAACTATCAATATAAAATTAAATTTGATTAATATTATATATAATATTTTATATTAAATATAAATTAAAAGTAAAAATTATATATTATAGTATTTATTTAATATAAAATATTTATATAATATTTATATATATTATATAAATTTTATAAAATATAAATAAAAAACTTGATATTTTAAACATAAATAATAAAATTTTATAAATTAACTTTACAACTCTAATAAGAATTAGAGAAAATCAGAAGTTTGGCTAAAAGTAAAACCAATAAAATCAAATATCTCAAGAACTATTATTCATATAGTAGTAATTTTAAGCTTTAGAACATTTATAAGCTTGCTTAATTTATTTAAGCAAAATTCTTTACAAAACACTTGTTAGAATATTCACTATAGATTAGCAATTGCTGATATGCAATAATTTAAACTCAATAACAAAGATTCTAATGTTACATAAATTATTTATTACACAAATAGTGATTATTTTAGGCTTATATATATAAATTTTCTACAAAACACTTGTTGAAATATTTGCTATGGATCATCCATAGCTAGTAATGTGCTATTTATATGATAGCACAATTTTTTTTATATACAATACGTACAGTACATATAGTATGTACCATACATACAGTATATAATATATAATTAGAATAGATCTGCATTATTACTATGGCAAAATCTTTAATACCAGGAATGAAGTAATGAATATTACAAAGAGTATGGCTTATTCAAGAAAGAAATTATGTGCATACCCAAAATATAATACCTGAATGGTCAGCGTGATCATAGTTGCCACATCTTGTATATGCTTCACCCACTATTAAAATCATGACCCATCTCCATCAAAGCCACGAATCTGCATTGCTGAACAATTATCTACTGTTAAAATCTCTGCTAAATCATGAATTTACACTACAAAATCTGGAATCCACCCATTGCTAAAATCTTTAACTTATCACTCAAATCGTAAACAACCATTGACTTACTTATTTAAATTATTAATTTACTTACCACTAAAATTAACCAATTGATATTAAAAGCACTAACTGAACTACTGTTGAAATAATAACTCACTCGCTATTCAAATCACTCACCCATTTTTAAAATCACCAACGCCTATTATTAAAACCATTATTCTACCCATCATTAAAATTGTTAATCACCCATTGTTGCAAATCACTAACTTACCCATTTATTTTTTAA